CTCGGATTGGCTGCTGGCACTCTCGAGGCTATGCCTACACAGCCTCGCGCGCATGGGCAGTCAGGAGGGACCACGCACCTTCACAGGACAGCGCCGGTGCCTCTCTCTTGGACTGGCAAACTTGGTGGTCTCGTGTCACCAATGTGGGACCAGTGTGCGGCATCGCGCCATCGACAGCTCTGAACTGCGCCTCACCACTGACCGGGAAGGCCGCCAAGTGGGCCAGCACAGGTCGCATATTGTGGCAGCAGTCAGCAGTGCATGTCTGATAGCTAGAGCTGCAGCGTCAGGGTCGCAGGGTCGGATCGTGTCAAGCCTCTCGCCCGGCCAGCCGCGTGCAGACGTCGCGCTGTCTGCTGTCTGGAGTGATCTGTCGGCGGTCAGTACGACCGATCAGGTCGGAGTTTTCTTATGGTTAGAGGGTCTATCTGTATGTACTCCTCGAGATCTCTCCAAATCTGCCCTCTGTTAGACCGGGTTAGATCGGGAAGTTGGTGCTAGTAGAGACTAGTAGAGCCGGAGCCCCGTTTCCGCACTGCGGCGCGGCGCACGGTGCCTCCGGGGGCCCCCGCGCCGGCCCAGAGGTCCTCTCTTGTAACTGAAAGCATCGTACTGCTGCACAGGGCGTCGCTGTCGCGCCGTTGCGTAATTAATCTTTCAAGTGCCATTGTTTCCCAGTGCACGTCTGTACGCCATGTCCGTGCTGCGCAACGCCACGATCGTCTCTCACGAGCATGGGCTTCCGCCTGCATCTACGTGTGAAGGCACTTCCTCAGTGGGTGAGCTTCAGACCTCGGGCCTGCCTCCCCCCAATTTCCAAAGCAACTTGTGGGCGTACGAGACGTGTGCATTGCTACACCCCCTCAGCCCATCTGATTAATTGTCAAAATTCCTGTTGAGTGTTGTGCAAGAGGGGAGAGAGCTCGGACGGAGCGCGTGGCGGGAGAGGGCAGGGACTGGGCGCGGGGGGGGGAGGGGGGGCCGGCTCAGCCGTGCAAAAAGCATCAATTAATAATATTAATGAAGAGATATTGCTCGGCCGTTCATGAAGTCCGTCTTCGATCTGGAGGAGACGGGTCAACCCCGTGAGGACCAGATCAGGTTCACATTGTCGTAGCCGGAGGGGATGTTGACCTTTAGCTGTTGGGGCCACCCTTCCGCTTTGGTTTTTTCCCCACAGACCATTCGGCCAATAAACTTGCATTTTACCATTCGGGCAAATTCGACGATGAAACGACAGAAAAGCGCGGCGGCGGCCGTCTCTCCGGAGAGCTATGCATGAAGCGGCCGGCGCGCCACTGCAGCTCACCAATGGAGCTTGCGCTGCAGCGCAATCCACAGGCGCAGTGGCACCGCGAGGCATTCTCCAAGCACGGTCTCTGGCGTTGCAGCTGCACAGAGAGCGAGCAGTAGTCGACAGAAGCACTGATACCTTGTGCGCAGCGGATCATCATGTTGGTCGCGCCTTGCGAGAGGACAACCACGGGCCGCGGATGCTTGTTCGGACGCGGACCCGCCGTGCGAGTTGCAGACCCGGAGGAGGCCGACCCAGCTCATCCCCAGAGAGGCCATGCCCAAGGGGCAGCCATGTGGGATCTTTTGGCCAAACTTTTACAACCTCAGACCCTGCTCCTCACTCAGGGTCACAACTACCGAGTCCCTAGAGTCTAGCTGCCACGTCCAAAACCAGGACGGCGGCAGTGATAGTGCTATCAAGGGCATGGTCCGTGGAAAGTGGAGCGGGTGGTACGGGATAGTAGAGCAGGCGCTTTGTGGGTGGCGGGTATGGGCGGCAGCGTTGGGTGGCCGGCCGAATCGTTAGCGGAGCTCCTCCCTCAAGCTCGATCACGCATGACGCACGTTGAGTGACAACGGCGGCGAGCTTCTGAACCAGGTTAGGTTGCCGGAGCACCGCCAACTCCTCCTCTGAGTCAGACACGCCAACGCCGACTGCGCCCTCCTCCTCCCATTCGTCAACTGCGCCCTCCTCCTCCTCCTCCAATTCGCCGACACTGCGCCCTCCTCCTCCATGGGCTCGATCCGATTCCGCAGCGTGTCGTCCCCAGCGGCGGTGCTGCGCGGGAGGCGGCCGGGGGCACGCTGGGCTCGATCAGCGGCTTCCCCTCAAGCTGCGCCGAAAGCACGGATTTGGCGGACGTTCTTGGCTTCAACTTTACGGATGTCTTGGCACCAGCTGAAGGCTTCCCACACAGACAACAAAAACAACGTGCTCTCTGTGTGAATCAGACGCACTTGCCTTCGGGGGCAAGTGCCAAATCCCTCTGTGCTTCTTTCACAGAGGCAGGACAGTCAAGAAAAACGTCGTCTCGGCGCTTGTCGGCCGGAGTCGTGCAAAGAAAAACGTCGGCCCTACCCGGTAGTCGTGCAAAGAAGTGCGCGATGGTCGCGCACGGCCCCGTGCTTCGCACGCTCTACGGCTCGCTGCTTCGGACGGCACGATCGATTGAGGCCCTCACCAACAAGCATAACGCGCACTTTGTCGGGCAGGTCCTGCGGAGGTCGACGATCAAGCAGTTTGCTGAGGCCTCTCTCGTGTCGCTCGTCTCGAAGCCCTTCTCTGCGGCCGACGGCTCGAGCCCGGCGTCGCTCGTGCGCGAGGCTTTCCGTGGCAGAGGCCGGCACCTCGCTGCGACCGAGGCGCGATCCACTTGCCCGCCGTCGCATTCGCTCGACGACGCGTTCGCCGCCCTCCGCATCGGGAACGATATCTTGTCGTGGCTCCGCCTGAACGGCACGCTGCACAGGCTGCACGAGACCGATGCGGACGTGCTGGAGGGCGCCTGCGCCATTGCGGACGCGTTGCGCGGCGACGGCGAGCATTGCCTGCGCGGAACGCTGGCCGAGATCGAGCGCTACGCCACCGAGGCAGCCGATTCTTGTGTGAAGTAGCTCGGAGATCTCTCGGACCCAGCCGCCAACTTGCGAGTAGGTCGAGTCGCTGCTCGAGGCGGACAGCGTCGCGCGCGGCGAGGTGAAAGGAGGGACGAGCACGCACACACCGAGGCTCACACACTTTCAGCGGCCCTCGGCGCCTCGGTTGCAGGTGGAGGACCTGCTTGAGATTGCCGACGAGGTCAAGACGCTGCTTGAGGCGGACGGGGCGAGGCTCGCGGGCGATGCGGCGGGCCGGCTCCGGACGCTGCAGCGCATCAACACGATCCTGTACGACAAGCTCGGCCTCAAGGGCCACTACGGCTCGGGTGACTTTGCGGACATCTCCCGCGGCAGCGGCATTGACCAGGCGCTCGCGCGGCGGCGCGGGCTGCCCATCGCTCTGTGCGTTATCTACCGCGCGGTCGCGTCGCGGCTCGGGCTGCCGGTCCAGGTCACAAACTTCCCGAACCACGTGCTGCTGCGCCTCGAGACGGAGGGCGAGGGAGCGGTGCAGACGGCGGAGGGAAGCGAGGCAGAGGCTGGCGCGGGCGTCGACGTCTCTGCCGTGACGGGCCTCTTTGTCGCCGACTACGGCCCGCACGGCCCCGAGGTGGTGGACGTGCAGGTGGGGCGCTATTGGGGCGAGGTGCGGCTGGTGGCGACCAAGGTCACCGGCGACGCGCACGTCCCGGTGAGATCGCCCTTTTCACCAGAGACCTCCCGCAGAGGGTCGAGACCGCCAGAGAGAATCTGAGATGGTCAGAGATGACCGGCGACGCTCGCGAGATCACCCGAGACCACGCTGGGGGCGAGCGTGGGTGCCGAGAGGCCGCGACTCGATGTAGGCGGGGCAGCAGAGCTGGTGGGCGAGGCTGGCGGCGGGCGACGGCGGCGCAGACCCCCCTGTGGGCGTCGGGGCCGAGGCGCTGCCCCTCGTGCCGCCCCTTCCCTCGAGCGCGCCTCTCAAGCTCGAGGCGGGCGTGCAGCTCGCCGACGAGGGGTTCGTTAACCCGCGCTGGGAGGAGGGAGCGAGCCTCGAGGCGACGGCGGCGAGGGGAGAGGAAAAGAAGTCACACACACCCGCACCTCGAGCTCCGTGCGCACGCGCTTGCAGGTGCGGTCGGCGAGCAGCCTGCTGCTCACCTTCGGCGAGGCGCGAGGCAGCGATGCGGCCGCGCCGCCGCTGCTGTTTGAGCGGTGCGACCCGGCCGGCCTCTGGTTTGTCGACGCGTTTCGCGGGGGCGCGCTGCTCCCGCCGCAGGTGTGCGCCGAGATCCTGGCGCGCACCGGCATGCCTCCGGACCAGCACGCGGGCTGCTTGGAGCCGGCCCCGCCGGCGAGCGTGTGGGCTCGCATGACCCGCAACTTGTGGGCGGCGGCGCGGCGGGGCGGTGACGAGACGAAGGCGGTGTTTTGGGAGGGGGCTGGCTGCGGGCTCGACGAGGCTGCAGGTAGAGCGAACTGACATGCCCGGTTGTACACTTGCGACACTTGCGACGCCACCGCCCCTCGTGATTCCCGCGCGAGCCGTCCAGTTCGACAGCTCTTCTCCGATATATGCCGTGTCTGACAATTTAAACCCCCGCACAAAAAACGCTGGTTTTTTTACTACAAGATTAAATCAACATTACATGCACATGTGCATGTGCATGCACGTAAACCCCCGGCCCCGCACACAACACGCTGCTTTTTTCACTACACGCGATCAAGGTGCGGCTCTCATGCCACTTTCGGGGGGCAAACCCTGCCCGGCCCCTAGAGCCCCAGGTAAGGCCCAGGTGTGGCCTAGGGCATCAGAAGGGACCAAGAGGAGTCCAGGCTGAGCCATAGAGCCCATGTCTTCGCCCCCGATGGTCGCGTTCAAATGCCCGGAACGGCCGTTGCAGTGGTGTCCGGCCGGCGCGATCACCGAGCTGTGACGCTCAGGGAAGCCTGATGAGGTGCTGGTTTCTTTGCCCAGGGCTGGCCTACGGCCCGTGCTGGATCAGCTGAGCAAGGTTTGGGGAGAATCCCCCATTCAGATCTTCAGATATTTTGACGGATGACCGAAAATGGGCAAAAACGGGGTGATTGAGACACACATGTCACATCAATCTATGTGGCTGCTAAGTGCTATTCTGCTGCAACCATGTTCGAGCGAGCTCGCCGAGCCCGGGGTCTGCCTCGCACTTTGCGGGATGGTAAGCGCGTCTCGCCAGCACTGGACTCGCGAACGGAGTGGCCTGCTTGCGCTTGCTCGCCGACGAGTGGCCTGCAACCATGCTGCCCAGGTGCTCGGGCCGCAAGTGCGAGAGGGAGCACCAAGCGGCGCGCTCGCAGAGGGGTGCGAGTAGGGCCTCATGGAAGCCCTTCGCGCGCTGCGTGGTTAGCGCTCGAGCAATCTCGCTGGCGACAGCGTGCGACATGCGTAAGAGTGGCCAGACGACCGCGGTGAGAGACCTGTCTTCGGCCGAGCGGCATCGTGTCGTGATGTTTAGAAAGCACGTGCGCTCGTGGGCAAAGTAGGAGGTGCTGGGGTGGTGAATGGTGCTGGCGATGATGTGCGACTCATCGGCCGAGTAAGCGTTGAACAGCGCGCTCCACGGGCCAGTGAAGAAGACATCGTCCTCAATCTGCCAGGCCCGATGGCAGGACGTGTGGCTGCGCAGTAGCCACAAAACAAAGGCAGCCTTCGAGTAGCCCACGAATTTTCCGCCAAACAGGCCCCATGGCGAGCTGGGCACGACTAGCGGCTGCCTGACGAGGCGCACATTTTTTTGCGGCCGCAATTTGGCCACCGCCTCGCCAGTCGGTGTATGATTGCGACCATGGAGAACGTAAACCATGCGGTCGCCTGCACTTGCCACCAGCGCAGCCAGTCGAGCAAGCCGGCATCCGTGCTCTAGGGAGCGCGTGATGTACGCGATGCATTCGCCGGAGCGCCCCATCGCCGGCACAGCTCCATCCATGTCTGATCGGAAGTGCCCGCCGCCGCCGCGCACGTTCGTTGGGCATATGCCGGCCAGGGTGGCCAAAGACGACGTCACCGCCGACACACGCGACTCGCAGCTTGCTTTGGTGTCCATTGGCGGAGTGCACCGATTCCAGCCATCTGCAGCGACGCCAAGTAGGGCAAAGAAGCATGAGCCTGGGGCCCGGCGGACAACGTTTCGCAGACTGACCGATGAGTCGCCTGAGCTGACTGGAGTGGAGGATCCCACGCAGATCGACGATCCGGACGCGGCTGCCAGCAAGGGCGTGTCGGTAACACGTCAGCGTGAGCTCGTCATTTGCGTGGTGGCGACCGTGCTCATCGTTGCTGCTGGCTGTGTCGGCACGCCAGTGGTGCTCATGCATTCACCCCTCTCAGCCCCATCGAGCGATCGAGCACAAGCGGTGCACGAGACCCTGTTGGCGCCGCCACCCATACCGCCACCGCCGCTACCGCCGCCGCCTCTTCCGCCGCCCTCACCGCCGCCGCCCTCGCCGCCACCTTGGCCTCGGCCGCCGCCTCCGTCGCCCTCTCCTCACCCTCCACCCGCTGCCTACGTGCGTCCCACTCCCATAGCTCAATTCTCCGGCAACGACTTGCTGTTCCCCTCCCCTGGGGAATACCCCTACCCTGCCCCCACGGATCCGATCGTCCTACCCCAATCTCCTCAGATCTGCTTTCGACTTTTCGTGGGCCCCCTCTTCCAC